ATAGAATAGAATAGAATAGAATAGAATAGAATAGAATAGAATAGAATTCTTTATTGACCAAGTGTGATTGGACACACAAGGAATTCATCTTGGTGCAAATGCTCTCAGTGTACATAAAAAGAAAACAGACATTCGTCAAGAGTCAAGAATCATCAGGTACTGCAACTGTCATAAATATGAGTCAGTTGCCAAGCATCTGAATGTTCAGCATGTGACCAAGGGGATGCTGCAAGGATTGTAAATGTGAAAAACCATCATAAGTCCCTTTCTGGAGTTTGCAGAGAGGAGGAGGAGGAGGGGGGGGGACTGAGGGGTCCTTGGTGCTCTCTGAAGTTTGTTTGTTTCCTTGTAGATGTTTCATTACCCAACTAGGTAATTTCATCAGTGCTAGAAGGGAGTGGGGTTTTTGGAGAGGAGGAAGTGGAAGAGGAAGAATAGGAGGAAAAATAGGAGGACTCTGGGTTCCTCAGGGCTCTTTGAGCTTGGCTGTTTTCTTGCAGATGTCTCATTACCCAAGTAGGTAGCATCAGCAGTGCTAGAAGGAGAGGGGAGTTTGTAGAGAGGAGGAGGAGGAGGAGGAGGGTGGGCTCCTTGGTGCTCTCTGAGGTTGGTTGTTTTCTTGCAGACCTTTCTTGACCCAACTAGGTAGCATCAGCAATGCTAGAAGAGATTTGCTCTCTTATGGTTGGTGGTTCTTGGTAGTTCCTGATGTGGCTTTTGTTTGTTGGCTGTTTGATTATTTATCTGAGTTGGCATTTGTTGGCTTCCAACAAGCCAAGTCAACCAAGAAGCCACCAGAACATGGTCAAGACCTGTAGTTAGAATTTAGAGGAGATATTTTCACAGTCAAACATTTTAAAAGTTCAAGAGCTTCTGAGCTTAATAGACACCCTCCCTTAAAATAGCAGTGCCCCTTTTTCTCACATCTTCAAGAAAATGTTCTTCTAGAGCCTTCTGCCATTAATTAATTACACCCCGGTTGTTGATTAAGTTCAGTGCTCTTTGGCTTTGTAATAGGTGCAACAGAAGAATGATTAGAATCTAAATTACATTGTTAATAAAATAAATTCCTTCGCAATAACCCTTTCATGGTCTCCCATTCTTATTCCAATTAATTTAATAAGGTGGTGAAATACAAAACCTGAATCGTAAGTACGTGCAATTTGGAATATCATTTAGCAGTTGGATTCACCTTACCTAGGATAAGCTGTAACGTGATGATTGGCTTAGATCTCTGTCACAGAGAGTTGACATTAAGGTATTGAGAGGGGTGGGTGGGCAGATAATAGAAGAACAGAGTTGGAAGGGACCTTGGAGGTCATCTAGTCCACCCCCCTGCTTAGACAGGAAACCCTACAGCACTTCAGATAAATAGCTATCCAATCTCTTCTTAAAAACTTCCAGAATTGGAGCATTCACAACTTCTGGAGGCAAGTTGTTCCACTGGTTAATGGTTCTCACTGTTAGGAAGTTTCTCCTTAATTCATGGTTGCTTTTCTCCTTGATTAGTTTCCATCCATGGCTTCTTGTCCAACCTTCATTGATTTTGCTCTTATCCTTAAAGTGTCTATCCCCTGCCCACCCGCCATCTTCTAATGCTTTTCTGGTTGGTCTCTTCATGTAAACGGGAGGAAGAGGAGCAGGAAGTGAAATATCTTGCTTCATCATACTTTTTACCTTCATGTTAAAAATGGATTTTACTGTGATTTCTTTGCTTGATGGCTGACAGCAGGGTGGCATGCAGGTTTCATATATTAAATTAAAAGCTAAGTTAAAAATAAAACTATTACATTACATTTTACACAGACCCTGGGTGCACTAGATTCAAAGCCATTGTTCCATATTTTGGTTGAAAGCTATTTAACAATCAGTTATTTCCAGGGATGCTTCCAAAACATTAAAGTTATAGAAAAATTATCCAGAAACCCTGTTCTTGGGAACAAGATGGTGGCATTTTGAAGGTAGGAAACCCTGCAACCATCAGCTTTAACTCAGTGTTAAAGGAACACAGATGGTATATCTTTGTTGCAGATATACCTTTAATGCTGAGTAGAACCAATTCCATCCTTATAAAAGGAGAAATTGTCATCCAGACTTGTTTTATAGGTCTGATCCTGGTGGAATTTCCTACAATACAGAATTGTCAATTTTAATTCCTTAGAAAGGGCATCTGCTTTTTCGATACAATAAGGCAGGAGAGTGAAGTCAGCAGAAAAAAAGATGAGATTTTAGAAACATGGCTGAAGGGAGCCCATTTTAAATCTTAGCAGGCTTTACACTTCAGCCAAGGGTTAATTTTAGAGTTACACAAGTAGTTCTATGCAGCAGTTCCAAAGGCGGGGAAAATTAAACTTTGGGAAATCAGAAATCTGTGGTCAGTATCAAGAACCAGATTTGGGCATCGCACAGTCAGTTTGTGTTATGAACTAATAAAAACGATTTAATAAAAACTTGTCAACCTCATGAGAAAGCAGGCTCGTAATCTTGCACCTTTGATTGGCCCATGGATAGCGAGCAGGGATTGGTCCTTACGGAGCAGCCTGATTGGCTATTAGTTGAACATCTCTCATTGGGCACAATTTAAACGTTTGAACACAATTCATTGGTTAACGGGTCAGCAGCAAGCTCTATAAAAGAGCTGCTGCTGCCCAGGGTTTTTGCTCTGTTCCTAATCCTTAATAAAGAGTTGAAGTTCACTAGTTCTCTGACTCGTCTCCGTTCCTTGCGCCCATGCTCAGAATATAACAGTTTGTAAAATTCAAATTGCACAATCCATAGTTCAAGTTTGTCAAATTTGTAGAACAGTTTGCAAAATTCAGTTTGTAAAATTCAAGTTGCACAATCCGTAGTCCAAGCAAAAGATATTCAGTTAAATCCAGAATAACCTTCTTAAATCAGCACCGAGACAGAGCTTATCATAAAGGCTTATCGGATCATAATTAAAAACAATGGGGAAGATTTAAAAGAAATTACTTCTGCAGCTATAACACAAACCGGAGTCTTATTGGAGAATTCACTTTCCAGAGAAGTTTCTCTTAGATTTGCAGATATGAAAATCCCTTTGCCCAAATGAAATACATATGTTTTCTGAATTAACTGTCAGTTTGCTGCTATAGTAAATCTGTCAACTGTGGAACTCCAGAATTTGATTTGCAATATTTTTATTTTAGTTACTTATAAGGCCTGAGTGACATTGTATTTGCAATTGCTTGGCGGCCTCAAATGTTACCTTTTGAGTTGAAAATGTAATGTCTAAGAGAGAGAGAGAGAGAGAGAGAGAGAGAGAGAGAGAGAGAGAGAGAGAGAGAGAGAGAGAGAGAGATTAGAATAAAGAACTAAAGAAAATAATACGATTTGAAATGTAGATATCTTTCGGGCTTCTAATATCTCCCATGTTTCTTATGTAAATTAGCAATATACATATTTAAATTTTGGTGGGTCTGTAAAAATCATAAGTTCACTTTAGTACTGTAGATCCTCAGTTTGCAAATGCGAGGGAATAAGCAGACTTAAAATGTTTTGTGGAAGACATTTGCCCACAAGGTAGATAAAGAGAGAGGTCTTCATTTAAAGGGACAGGTAAATGAATGGTGCCCCCTTCTTCAGATTAACTCAAGTTCCAACCTGGGAATTTCCTTCACACTTTCAATAAGAGTGCAATCTTATACATGTTTACTAAAAAAATAAGTCCCACTGAGTCCACTGGGGCATGTTCTTAGGTAAAAGAAACAGCCGACATAGTCAGACTCCACTCAGTATCAAGGATGCAGTTGTAGAGATGGTGAACAGTATTAAGTATCTGGATGTGCAGATAACTAACAATCTGAACACACGTCATCCTTAATGAAGCGTGCAAACCAGCATCTGCATTTCCTGTGACAGATCAGGAGAGCGCATCTTTTCTCCTTCTGCCCTGGCCACATTTTACAGAGGCACGATGGAGAGTGTTTTAACAAACCGCATCCCTGTTTGGTTTGGTGGCAGCAGCGCCTCAGATAGAAAGTCCCTACAGAGAGTGGTTGAGGACAGTGGAGAACATGATAGGATTATCTCACTTCCTGTTATTCAGGATGCTGCTTGTAAGCACTATTTGCTTAGAGCTCAAAACATTGTGAGAGACCCCACACACCCCCTTCGTGGTCTATTTCTGTTGCTCCCTTCTGGAAAGAGGTTTTGAAGTATTTCTAGCAGGATTACCAGATTCTGTAACCGCTTTGTTCCCTAGGCCATCCCTTCGGTAAACTCACAAGGTTAGCTTTTCTCACCATGGACATGTATACATTAGAACTAGACTGTTGTTTCTGTGTGTCATATATTATATGTGGGTATGTGCATAATTTTGTATTTATTAATTTTGGCACGTTTATGCAGTGTATATTGGAGGCACGCTCTTTTGAGAGCCGTACACCATGAAACTTCACTTTAATGTATGCCGATCAAAGTCTGTTCTAGAATTACAGTTCTAGAATTACAGTTTTGGAAGCTAAAAATGGAGTTTCCCATAGCTTCACCCCTAACTTAGCATCCCACGCATACCAGTCAGGGACTGTTAACAACTAGAGAAGCGATTAATGGCATGCAAAACTGTCGGTAACCAGGGTGCCATCGGTGTAGACTAAAGTTGGGAGGAGAGACTGGAAGGAAGAACCCTCCAACAGTTCTAAAATGTAAGTACAAAAAAGACACGCGATCGGAAGTCGCGGATGAGGTCATTCCAGCAGTGACGCCATCCGTAGAACTCCCCGTGTCTTAGCTTGACTTTCCTTTAGCGATCACAACATAAATTGCTTGTCTTGTTTGACTTCCTTGTTCACCGAAGTTGAGCAGATTGTGGCCGTTTTCAACGCCTCCGCCCGACAAAAAGCTTGGGACCATTTCTCCAAAGCTCAACGGAAGAACATAGATATTTGGCGCAAGCACTCCGAGGTGGGTGAACTTTCCTTTTTCTGTTTTTATCCATCATTTCACAGCCTTGGACCAAGGGGCGGTGGGGAGGAAAAGGCAAAGGGGCCTGTGGTGGATTGTGCTTTGTTCGGCAGTCTTGGAATTGCCTCCATTGTCGTGCGTAAAAGTAATCAAGGACAGTTTCCAGAGTCTCTGCAATAGTTTATGCAGCTGAAATTCTGAGACATAATATCCCTTCTACTAAAACAGCTAGTGGAGAGAATTAGCAGAGTTGCCTTAACATTTATGTTGTAGTCCTTTGCGTTAATGAATTCCAAAATGAAATTAATTCATCACAATAGTGTCCGAAAGCTGGCAAAACTATTGGGCAAAGCAGATTTTGTTTTGGAACACTATTCTTCATCATAAATATTCATCAAAAAATAATCGTTAAGGGGATATTGTAAATCCAGATTTCTTATTTAATTAGTATTAGCTTAGAAAAGACAAGGTAATTTTTCCAATTTGACTTTGGACAAAATAAAAGGGAATTTTTTTCATTGCCCGCAATCCAAACTTTATAAAATAGGGCACTGCAGTCAGAATTTGATGTTTTTAATCTTTTGAGTCCTATCAAGGGTAAGTTTTTTTTTTCTTTAATGGATGCAGTGATAGCAAAATTTAGGAGCTGCAAAGATTTTCTTGAACCCAGACCAGGGGTGGTATTCAGCAGGTTCTGACCAGTTCGGAGAACTGGTAGCAGAAATTTTGAGTAGTTCGGAGAACCGGCAAATCCCACCTCTGACTGGAGATTTTACAGTATCTTTCCCCTGCCACACCCATTGAGCCATGCCCACAGAACCGGTAGTAAAAAAAAAATTAATCCCACCACTGACTCAGACAGTATAAGAAAACTACTTCCTAATACTAATAAGAACTCAAGTTCACCTACAGGCTTACAGAAGTGGGAAAGGAAGTCCTCAGTAAATTATGACAGTTTCCTGGCCTTACTTATAAAAAAAAGAATATTAAAAATGTACTAATGGTGCTTTCCCTTAAAAGGCAACTGGACTTTCTTGTTTTTCTGGAAGATGTTTCACTTCTCATCCAAGAAGCTTCTTCAGTTCTGATTGAATGGTAGAGGATGGAAGGATTTATATTCCTGGCAGTCATCTGGTTGTTAGTACTCTTTCTGAGAGCTGTTGAGGCCACTTGGAGGTTTATCTGGGTAGATGGGGCCAACTGAATCCTGTAGTCTACAATTTTTCTATTCATACTTCTGCACCATTCAAAGGGTGTCCATCCCAATGTGCATAGCTAACAAGTGTCTTGATGGGAAGGAAAACGTTTTCAAGCAAAACAAGAAAGTCCAGTTGCCTTTTGAAAGAAAGACATTAAAAATAAAAACTATGTCTTTTGAAAGACATTAAAAATGTAGATTTCATGGGGTAATGAGCCAACTTGGGCTGTCCAAGGAAGGTGAAATTCAAGCAGTGGCCATGTCTACATGCTGTCTTTTTTTTCAAGTTGAAGTCTACATAAGAAGCCAGGGAGTTGAACAGTACAGAATGATTGAAGTCAAAAGCATCTGCAAGGAAGTCTGTAGCATTTCTCAGTCATCCAAGTCATGTTTGTCCCAAAAGTGCTTTTTCTTCAGGAGGCAACTGGACTTCCTTGTTTCTTCTTTCCTTGAAGACATTTTGCTTCTCATCTCAAGAAGCTCCTTCAGTTCTGACTGGATAGTGGGGAATGGAAAGATTGATACTCCTTGCAGACAGCTGGCCATTTGCATCCTTTTAGACAGCCGTTGAGGCCACCTGGATGTTTCTCTGTGTCCTCAGGATCACCTGAGTGGTGCAAATGGTTCCTGTAGTCTGCAGTTTTTCTGGAAATCCATTCATACTTCCCAGCATTCGAAGGGCATTCATTCCACAGGTGACCCTGAGGACATAGATAAACCTCCAGGTTGTCTCAACGAGCCTCTAAAAGGCTGCAAATGACCAGCTGTCTGCAAGGAATATAAATCCTTCCATTCCCCACCATCCAGTCAGAGCTGAAGAAGCTTCTTGGATTAGAAGCTAAACATCTTCAAGGAAAGAAAAAAATAAGGAAGTCCAGTTGCCTCCTGAAAAAAAGCACCTGTGGGGCACCTGCAAGGAAAGAATACCATCTTCAGGATGGTAGATGAAGCTCTATGGTGGACAAGACCTCTTTTGAACTTCTTGGTGAAGCTGCTACAAAATGCAACAGAGTTTGCAATTCAGTGCTCATCCCCTACCTTGTCCATTTTGATGCCCAATCTGGAGATACCGGTGACAGGATATAAGGTATCAGACCAAAGGAGGGGATTCAGACTCATACCACCTGGTTTGTTCTAGTTGCTAACTTGCTCTCCTCGGAGCAAAATCTCTACCAGCTGTATTTAGCCATACCTGTTGGCTTTCTTATGAAAAGGTATAGTACCAGGACCACATAGGAGATAAATCCTGAGTTTAAAATACTTGGTTACGCTTAGCAATGGAAGAGAAACAGAAGCAGGGAGATTTAGGGAGTGGAAGGATGAAAGAAGGGAAAAATCAAATTGAATCTAGCCTGAACATCTGGGTTTTGTTCAATGCATGTGCATGATGAGAAATCAAGGAAGAAGAATAGTTTTTACTACATCCCTTTTGAGAGAGAGAGAGAGAGAGAGAGAGAGAGAGAGAGAGAGAGAGAGAGAGAGAGAGAGAGAGAGAGAGAGAGAGA